CTTTCAGGGAATTAATTTTATCTAAATTGTCAAACTTACTGATATAAAGTTGTTCGTACTATTGTCTTACTATTCTCCCATTCTTTATTATCCTTTTTAATATCTCTGAAATCCTAGTGATGACATCTCTCTTCTGACGGTGCTATTTTGTGTTCTTAATTTGTTTCCTGACTAGTCTGACTAGAGGTTTATTAATGTTCTTAATCTTCTAGAAAAACAGCTTTTGTTTTCATTATTTTCTTTAATATTGTTTTGTATATTTCCACTCCGATCTTCATTTTTTCTTTTCTGCTGTTTGCTTTGGGTTTCATTTGCTTTGCTTTTCTAATTTCTTAAAGAAGAAGCTGAGATTACTGATTCAAGACCTTTTCTGATAACAGGAGTTTAATGCATTACATTTGCCTCTGGGAACTGTTTTAGTTGCATCTCACAAATTTTCATCAATTTAAAATGCTTTCTAATTTCCCTTTTCATTTCTTCTTTGACCTGTAGGCTATTTGGAAGTGTGTCAGTTGTTTCCATATAGTCGGAGATTTTCCAGATATCTTTCTGCCATTGATTTTTAATTTAATTCTTTTGTAGGCAAACAACATACTCTGTATGCTTTGAATCATATATTTATTGACAATTTGTTCTATGGCCCATAATATTATCTATTATGGTAAATGTTATATACACTTATGAAAAGAATGTGTATTCTGCTGTTGTTGGCTGGAGAGTTCTGGAAATGTCAGTTGGTGTTGTTCAGGTTGTCTGTATCTTTGCTGATTTCTTGTCTGCTTCTCAGTTATTGAGAGAGGGGATGGAAATTGTGAATTTGTCTATGATAGTTTTTCCTGCTATCTGCTACTTTATTTTAAATCTGCTTTAGATACATAAACATTTTAGGATTATTTTGTCTTTTGTCATTATTAAATGACCTTTATTCCTGGTAATATTTGCTCTGAAGTCTACTTTGTGTAATATTAATTTAGCTACTCCAGCTTTCTTTTTAGCATGGTATATCTTTTTCCATTCTTTTATTTTTACCTATGTGTGTCCTTATATAAAGTGGGTTTCTTTTTTTTTTTTTTTTAAGGTTTTATTTATTTGACAGAGAGAGACACAGCGAGAGAGGGAACACAAGCAGGGAGAGTGGGAGAGGGAGAAGCAGGCTTCCCGCGGAGCAGGGAGCCCGATATGGGGCTTGATCCCAGGACCCTGGGATCATGACCTGAGCCGAAGGCAGACACTTAACAACTGAGCCACCCAGGCGACCCTAAAGTGGGTTTCTTTTAGACAATATGTAACTGGGTCTTGTTTTTTAACCTGTGTGACAAATTCTGCTTTTCAACTGGGGTGTTTAGATCACCTCATCTGTTTGTTGATAAGGCAAAATTAATTAAAATTTGCCATTTTGTCATTTGTTTTCTATTTGTACCATCTGTTTCCTTTTCTCTTTCTTTCTACCTTTTGGATTGAGTGTTTTCATTCCATTTGTCATCTTCGTTGGGTTATTTGTTAAAACTCTTGTGCTGGCTTTGTGGTATTCATCTTGAATATCCTGCAGTTGACCTTCACGTGACAGACTGCCTTAAAGTTTTGAAATGGTGTGCTTCTGCTCCTCCCTTCCCAGCTTTTGTGCTGGTGTCGTCAAAGTTCTACTTCTGCAATATAGGATACATGTTTTTGCTTTAAAAAATTCTAGGTTGACTACTTTTTTTGTTTTCAGAATTTAAAAATGTTGCTCCACCATCTTCCAGCTTGTATTGTTTCTAACGAGAAATCTGCTGTCATGTTTGTTTGTTTTCCTCTGCAGAATACCTTTTTTCTCTGGCTACTCTTAAGATTTTCTCTTTATCACTGGTTTTAAGCAATTTGATCATGATGTGCTTTGGAGCAGTTTTCTTTCTGTTATGTTTGGGGTTCACTGAGTGGCTTGGGTCTGTGGGTTTTCATCAGATTGGGAAATGTTTTTGTCATTGTTTTTTCACATATTTTGTCTGTCTCCCTGCCTCCCAAGTCTGTGTATCACATAGCTCACAGTTCATTGTTTTCTAGCCTTTTTTTCCCAGTGTTGTAGAGTTTCTGTTGTCTTCAAGTATTCATCTTTTCCTCTGTGAAACTGAATCTGTTCGTCCTATGCCTCGCAGTTTTCATCTCTAGGCAGTGGATTTGCTTCTTTCTTAAAATCTTCTGTATCTACTGAACATGTTTGATTTTTCCTCTAGCTTCTTCTTCTTTTTTTTTAAGATTTTATTTATTTATTTGACAGAGAGAGACACACAGCCAGAGGGGGAGCACAACCAGGGAGAGTGTGAGAGGGAGAAGCAGGCTTCCTGCCGAGCAGGGAGGGCTCGATTCCAGGACCCCGGGATCACGACCTGAGCCAAGGGCAGACGCCTAATGACTGAGCCACCCAGGCACCCCTTCTTCTAGCTTCTTGAGCATTTGTGACACAGTTTTAACTTTAATGTCCTTGTCTACTCTATCATTTGTACCTTTTCTGAGCCAGTTTTGATTGAATTTTTTTCATTTTGGTCCTAATTTCCTGTTTCTTTGCATGTCTCGTAATTTTTTTATTGCGTGCCAGACGTGGTGAATTTTGCCTTTTTTGGTTACTGCGTATTTTTGCATTCCTATAAATATTCTTGAGGTTTGTTCTAGGATGTGACTTGGAAACAGTTTGAACCTTTCAGCTGTTGCTTTTAATTGTTGTTAGGCTGTGTTTAGTCTGGAGTTTATTTTTCTCTACTAACAAGGCAGGACTCTTCTGAGTACTTGACTCAGTGCCCCACAAGTTATGAACTTTTCCAGACTGGCTCCTGAGAACAGGCACTGTTTGTGGTCCTGCTCAACTTCAGTTATTGTTTCCCAGTTATCCTTTAGGGTGCCTGGGGTAGTTTCCTCACACCACACACTGATCAGTACTCTGCTTCATTCCCTGAGGGGTTCCTCTCTAGATCTCTGGAGTCTTACTTTTGTGCCGCTCTCTCTTCTCCAGAACTCCTGGGAGCTGTCCTGTGAGTGCTCCCTGCCTTGGTTTCCCCCAGTTTTTAGCTGTATCCACTTACCTCCAAGAGTCTTTTGCACCCCCTGGAGTCCTTCTCCTTGCTTTGTAGGCTGGCAATGTTCTTGAGGCAGTAAGGCTCACCTCACATGCTCCCTGACTTACAGATCACTATTCTTTGTTGCTTGATGTCAGTGTCTGGAGAACTGGCGTTTTCTAATATTTTGTCCCCCTTTTTTTTTCTCCCAGTTGTTTCAGGTGGGCAGTTAAATCTATCCCTATAACTCCATCTTGGCTGGAAGCCTTTATAAAATATACAGCATTGTGACTCTTTTGTCCGTGTCATACATTTAACAAAGGTCTTCCTTATGGTTAGATTGATTGATTTACCACGGTGTGTAGTGGCAGGTAGAGAAGAGTGAACACTGGATTCATGATTCCTTTCCCTGACCCTTCCTCCCTTCCCTACCTCAGAGTGGAAGACTCTCAGACATATGCCTGTCCCTTGGGGGGGATGTGGGTTGTCTCTCCTTGCAGAGCACTCTGAAGAGGCTCTCTCATGAAGGTACTGACACTATGGTACACAATGTCCTGTGTGGCCGTCCCGGGGTGGTGGTGAGGGGAGGGCTCAGGCCTAGCTTCTATGTCCTACCTGATTTGGTGGGCTCATCTACCTTGGTTAGAGTGATGATTGGCTCTGGTTACTTAGGCCAGTGATGGGACAGGACTCAGGGGTGGGAATAGTTCCTTTTTCTTTCTGGATTTCAGTGGAATGATTCCAGAATAAGGAAGACCACAGAGGGAGCAGGACCATAGTAAGAGAGCTCTGTTTGTTTCTTCTTCCTGTGTTACCAGGTTAGTGTGCACGACTTCATCCCTCCCACCTCAGTGCTTTTCCTTGGTTCCATGTTTGCCCGTGTAGCAGCTGTCACCTCACTTCACAAGTCTGGTTTGAAGAATCAGAGTAAATACTTTTGCCTGTGCAGGTCCTTTAGTCTCTCTTGGTCATCAGTCTCAGCTCTGCTGTTGTAGCTCAAAAGCATCTGCAGCTGATACATATTTGTGGCTGTGTTCCAATAAAACTTTATTTAAAAAACAAGTGGGAAGGGCAGGAGTTGAGACCCGAAGGCTATAATTTGCCGACCCCTGCCTCAATTCAGGTCCTCACTTTACTGGGTTATTTGATATTTTTTGTGTCATTCCGCTATTACAATTGCTTCCAGAAACCATTGCCAGTTCTACCTTGCTTAAAACACAGATCTCATCATGTAACTTACTGACTAAATAACCTCTGGCTTCCTATAACATTCCCAGTAAAGGTCAGAATTATCTTACCCTCAGAGCCTCCATAGTCTCTTTTTATATTTCTGATCTTACCTCCAGTGATTCCCCGTCTGTCACATACCATCTGCTTGGCATGTTTTCCTGCCCTGTGATAATTCCGTAAGCTTTACTTTTTCTGGAATGTTTTCTCCCTTCCTGTTACATTATATGTGTGTATTGAAACCATCCACCTGCCTTGGGAACCCTGTTTACATCCCACCTTCTTTCAGAAGGATTCCAGAGCCCCTCAGGTGTAGGCAGTTTCTCCTTCCTTCATGCTGTTTGAGCACTCCTATGGTGCGCCCTCCTGATTTGCTCTTTGTCAGAAATGTGTGTGTGTGTCTTGTTGACCCAGAATCCCTCCTGAGGTGGGAGTTGTGCCCTCTTGTGACCGCTGTAGTCTAGTGCAGAGCCCAACTCAGAGCAGAAGCGTGTCAGGTGTGTGTTTGAGATGGCACAAAAAGACTGATGTCTTGGGGGTGCATTGCCCTGGGGATTCGTGTTGTTGTGGGCCCAGCTCTTGGCTCCTCCTTGGGGCCCACATGCAGGCCCCTGAGGGGGCGGGCTGTGGGCAGGCTGCCTGTGTTGGGCCACACTCCTGGGCCCTGGGCGGCGGCAGGCCTGGCTGTCCCAGGTCCCCTTTGCTGCTGCCGCCTCCTCAACGGCCTCTTGCCCTTTGGTTCCACAGAGCTGCGGTGCAACCCCGGGCAGTTTGCCTGTCGCAGCGGCGCCATCCAGTGCATCCCCCTCCCCTGGCAGTGTGACGGCTGGGTGACTTGTGAGGATGAGAGCGACGAAGCCGACTGTCCAGGTGAGTGTATCGGGCAGGCAGCTGCCCGGGGCCCCGCTGCTCCATCACAGCTGCGTGATTGTGCTTCCGGGAGGGGGGGATGGCGTCCCCTGCAGCCTGTGCTGGATCCACTTACTGGACGCTTATATTGAGCTGGCCCCTCCCCTCTCTCCGTCTCTCTCTTTAAAAAGAGATGCCCAACGCAGGCAGATCCCAGAATTTGCAAGGTCGCAGGGTCAGGGCCGGGGTGAGGCAAGAGGGGTGCCCAGGATGCCACGTTTTGGTTGGCACTGCCAGCCCTGAGAGCAGCGCCCCTGAAATGTGGTGCCCTCTCGCCTGGCTTGGGAGGTGGGTGCTTTTTGAGACCTGCTTAGAGTCCTGTTGAGGGTCATTAGACTGGCTTTGGCTCTGCCAACTCATCCTGCTCACTCAGTCCCTAGTAATTTTTCATTTGGGGGTTCTCTCCTGACAATGCATGGACTCCTAAAGATCTATGCAGATGCAACAGAAAGTCTAAACTGTTGGTTCTCCATTTGGTTTCTGCCCCAGCACCCTCAGGGAGTATAATACACCTCACGAGTAATGGTGTTTGCTGCATCCCTGGTTCTTTTGGGTTAGGATGGAAGATGTAGTATCTTGCATTTGCCCGTACATATGTGTGTGATACACACACTAATTTGTTTAAGACCCAGGCAGCACCAATAAAGCCCCTAAGAAGAAGGGGTTTTTATTCTACCTTGAGAACCTCGGACCTAATAACTCTTCAGCCTGGCATTTAAATTTCTTGACATTCTGGTTTGGTTCTACTTTACCAACCTGATGTATTGCTATTTTCACTTTAGTGGCTCCGCTGGCCTGTTTCCTGTGCCCACCCCATGATGAATTTCCTAGCCACATGCTTCATTCATGCCTTTCTTTTTTTTCCTGGGATCCTCTTGTTCTGTTTTCATGTGGGCAGATCTTACCTGTCCTTCAAGGCTTGGCTCAGATGGTACCACAACAAGTAGACATCTCTGGGCTCTCGGATGGAGGTTGGCTTCTGCCAGCACCTCTTCTCTCTCTCTGACAGCATCTAGAACCACCAGTATTTCTCACCATTACCTGTGCCCATGCTTGATCTCTCCTTCCAGACTATGAGCTCCCCGAAAGCAGGAGACCTGTCCTCTTCCTAAGTGTGACCTGGCCTAGGATGGAGGTCCTTTTTAACATTCGGTAAATGGAAAGAATGTTGTAATTCCTGTGGGTCAGGTACTGAAGAAAAACCAGTTACCTTCAACCATGGGGATCAGGTAGGGTATCAAATACAAGGTGACATTTGAGCTTGGGACAGTTCTTTGAAGGGGGTTCCAAAATAAGAAGCAGAGGTGGTCTGGTCAGACTGCCTGAAAAGATGGCCTTTAGAGGGGATCCCAATTATCCCTTGAGCTTGTTCATTGGATTATGCATGTCTGGTTGAGGTGCTTGCCTTTCCAAATGAGTTTGAATGGTGGCAGCTGGGGCAGAAGCTTCTGGGACAGCCCTGTGTCTGGAAGCCCACCTGCTCCTTCCTTAGGTCACAGCCTGGAGAGCATGAACTACCCCGTGCTTGGGATGCTGATGCTTCATGTTCTGTCAGCTGTTGAGGACCAGTGGTTGTGACTGGGAGCTTCCCTGGATCTGCCTTATGGGATGAGACTTCATATCCAGCCTCCTAGAGAATATTCTGAACAAAGAACCAAACGATTCTTGGCTGGCTTTCAAGTGGAAGGATGACTTATTTGCTGATCTCAAAGTGCCTTTTGGCTTAGCTTTTAAGGTTGTGCGTAATAACTGTTCTGTTGTGTAGGTACTGAAAACAATGGTAGGCACTCTAGTTCATCTTGTTTATCTCTCCATCCACTGTGGACTTGATAAAGGCAGGAACTAGATTTTATTTCTCTTCTGGGCCACATGGCCTGGCACAGGAGGTCACAAGTCGCTCAGCACAGGTGTTGATTTGAGGCTACAAAGGTTGCCATATTTTCTCCCCAGACAGAGAAATAAAGTCTATCCAACAGGAGCCTGGAGTTCGGAGTGGATAGTGTGCTCTGGGCCCTAGACACTGAGGGCACAATGATCATGGCAGTGTGTGGAAACTCACGCAGCCCTGATAGGACCAAGGAGTGTTTGAAGAGGGGTGGGAGGGCTAAGGCGCTGTTAGACCTCCTGGCTCACTTCTGGCCTCCCCTTGTGTCTGGTACCGTGTCGGTACCGTGATGAGTGCCACGCCATGATCCAGGTGGCGATAAGCTTTGAACTCTGGGGTTCTGAGAAATGTAAGTTATGAAAATATACAAGGAAGAAGTATAGTACTTGTTTCTCACTTCCCCAATCATCAGTAATTGCTGAAATTTTGTCATATTTTCATTTTTTTAATTAATTTTTTAAAAACATCATGAATATGTTAAATCCTCATTAACACTCTCCCCTACCAAAAAAAAAAAAAGAAAGAAAAATCTTCGTTAGTGGGGAGGGGAGTGTGGACAGGGAGTTAGCTGATAACTACCTTTGCTGTGGCCTTCCTGTATATGGGGAGAGTTTAAATAAACCTATGGGAAGCCCTGGCCATGCTTGGTCAGGTTTTTGAACATGGGATTCAGGACGTCTGGAAGGACCATACGAGATTATTTCATTGTCCTTCTGAAAGCCTGCTAAAATGATAGTAAAAGAGTATAGAAGATATAAAGCCATAGTAAAAGAGTATAGAAGATATAAAAGATACTGGAAGATAGGAAATGGGTGGTGTGCTAGATAGAGTCTGGGCATCTAATATATTGCCTGCATTTCCAGGGCTGGAAGGCTGGAGCTTTCTTATTCAGACCCCACTGCCAGCAGGCTTGGGCTATCACTTGGCCCAGGAGATCCTTCCCATGCAGTTTGGAAGGTGGAAGGGAGGTGGACTCCTCCTTCCTCTGGCAGTGGTGTGAGGGTGCATGGGCTTAGACCAAGGTGAGTGAGTACAGCTGCCTCCTTAGCCTCCTCTGGCCAGCCGTTGCAGGGCTGCAGGGCAGCTGTGATTGGCAGAGGTTTTCTGCGGTATCCTGTCCTGTGGACGTCTTCCTCACTCTGGACTGCAACTGCGGAGGAGGAATGGAAGGCTGGAGGTGGCTCACTTTTGCACACACTCCAGCCTCTTCAATTGTTCTGAAAGTACCTAATGCCCTGTATTAAACTCCTTTATTTTTGAAATACCTACCATGGTTTCTGTTCTTCTGACCAAACCATCTTTGATGTAAATGGGAACTAACATAAGAGGGATAAAATTTTTTAATGGAGAAAAATGTACAACTTTATTAAGAGACATTAAAAAAGCTTTGAATAAATAAAGACAAGATATTCTTGGCTAGGAAGACTCAGCATGGTGAAGCAGCCTTATATTGATCTGTGGAGTCAGTGCATCTCCAAAGGGGCTTTTGGGAAATGTGACGAGTCAGTTTTAAAATGTGTAGAAGAATAAAGTCCTAATATTGTAGGACACTGAAGAAGAGTAAGGTGTGAGCAGTTGCCTTACCCTTGTCAAGGCTTACATTATTGTTGGCTCAGGGAAGCACAGATTGGCCCGTGCACCAGAAGAGCTGCCAAAAACAGACCTGAGAAACGATATATGGCACAGGTAGAATTACATATCACCGGGCAGAGGATAGGTGCCTCAATCCTAGCGCTGTGACAGTTGGGAAAGAATGTATACACAATGTACAGAAAAATCAGTTTCAGGTTAATTGAAGAAAAACTTCTAGAACACAGTCTAGGAGAATACCTTTATGACCTTGGTAGGAAAGGTTTTTTTTGTTTTGTTTTTTTAAGATTTATTTGAGAGAGCGAGAGAGCAAGCAGGAGCAAAGGTGCTGAGGGAGAGGGAGAAACAGTCTTCCCACTGAGCAGGGAGCCCAACGCGGGGCTCGATCCCAGGACCCCAGGATCATGACCTGAGCTGAAGGCAGATGCTTAACTGACCGAGCCACCCACGTGCCCTGGAAAGGGTTTTTTTAAAGTCACAAAAATAATCAACTCTAAAATAAAAATGACCAGTTTTACTAGATTAAAATTAAGATCTGCTCAGCGGGGTGTCTGCTTCTCCTTCTCCCTCTGCCCCTCCCCCTGCTCTCTCTCTCTCGAATAAATAAAATCTTAAAAAAAAAAAAAAAATCTTCCCTTTTTCAAAAGGTACCTGTAAAGAATGTGAACAGACAAGCCACAGAGTGTGAATAAATTTGCAATATGTGTAGCCCTTAAAGGATTATAGTACAGCACATATAAAGAACTCCTACATATGGACAAAAGACACTCAGGCATGTCACAGAAGAATTAATAAGAACAGTGGTTATGGGGCGCCTGGGTGGCTCAGTCATTAAGCGTCTGCCTTCGGCTCAGGTCATGATCCCAGGGTCCTGGGATTGAGCCCCGCATCGGGCTCCCTGCTCAGCGGGAGGCCTGCTTCTCCTTCTCCCACTCCCCCTGCTTGTGTTCCCTCTCTCACTGTGTCTCTGTCTGTCAAATAAGTAAAATCTAAAAAAAAAAAAAAAAGTGGTTAAACAGATAAAAAGATACTCAACCTCATTAGAATTCCAAGGCTGCAGTGAGATTCCACTTTACAGTTATTTAGATTGGCAAAAATTAAGATGTCTGTTGGCAAAAATTAAGGTATCAACAAAACCAGTGTTGGAGAGGATGTGAGTGACTTGGAAGTCTTAATCTGCTGCTGGTGAGGGGGATAAATGGATGCACCTGCTTTGGAAAACTGGCATTAACTTGTAAAGTTGAACATTCTCATATTCTGTGATCCAGGATTTCCATTTGGGGGAGCTCTAGAGAAATTCTTACAGCACTCTTCATACTAATAAATATCTTGGAAACAACCCAAATGTCTGTGTTCACATGATGGCGTATTATGGACCAACAACGGTGAGTGAATAGTAGGTCCTTGCAGCAACATTAATGGATCTTAAGGACAGCATGTAGGTGACAAAGGCAAATTGCCAAAAAGTACAACACAATAAAGACAA